GAGGCTGCGGTGGCCGGGAGCGGCCGCTGCACTCCAGTCTGGGCAACAGAGCGAGACTCCAACTCAAAAAAAAAAGAAAGGGAAACTCATTTTCCAGAATAAACTCAACCCTTCAAATAGTACATTCATGGGGTCAGACTCTAAGGTGTGATGGGTAGGATGGGGTGACCCTGTCTTCCTCCTGCCTTCTAGTTACCCCCTGGAGGTGACACGTAGGCTTCGTCACTTGTGGTGGTTGCTAGAGAATTTTGTGCATAGACAAGCAAATATATGAGCATGTTTTTTCTTTGGACTAAAAGGAGATGCCTTTAAATTCCAATTGGGAGAACTTATGGGGCAGGGTTATTGTCTCATGATTCTCTTTTTTTTTTTTTTTTTTTTTTTGAGTCCGAGTCTCACCAGGCTGGAGTGCAATGGCATGCTCATGGCCACCGCAGCCTCTACCTGTTGGGCTCAGACTATCTTTCCCCCTCAGCTTTCCAAGCAACTGGAACTATAGATGCACACCACCACACCCAGCTAATTTTTGTGATTTATTATAGGGACGAGGTCTCACCAAGTTGCCCAGGCTGGTCTCGATCCCCTGGGCTCAGGCAATCCTCTCACCTCGGCCTCCCAAAGTGCTGGGGTGACAGGTTGATTCACCACGCCTGGCCTTTATTTTTGCTTCTGGCGTTAGCCCAGGGCCAGGCCTGGAGTAGGTGCTTAGTACATGGTGAATAAACAAGGAAGCAGAGAGCTTATCACTGTCATTCACCACTGAGCTCTTTGGTCTCTGGTTCTCCTTTCTTTGAATGCAGATCCTTTGGTTTGGTATCAGTGAGGGTTTCCAGCTGTGGTGTTCATGAGTTGACACGTGCCCATTGGAAGCCAGCTCTTGGTTGACTTGGCAGGAAGGAGCCCCTTGTGTTTCCTGAGTTGTCCAGTGGCCTTTCTTTCCTGGGGTCGGTTGCCGGTGGAAGCAAGAGAGCAGCTTGCCCCCTGGGGTGTGTGTGGGTTCTAGCACCAAGGGCACAGCTGTCCTGGCATCCCAGGCAGAGCGGGGAGTGTCTCTAGCCCTGCGGGAAGGCCATGGTGTGGGTTCACATGGGGACTGGGGACGGACACAGGCGTGGGCCTGGTTACAGAGGAGTGCTTGGGACCCACATACACCAGGGCACAGCGAGTCCTGGGCAGCATTCTAAATTCTGTGCTTTCCAAAGCTGTGCACCACCCTCTCCAGTAACGGGATATGCTTCTCTCCCACAAGAACCAGCAGCCCCAGCAAGCCCAGTGTTGCTCTCGGCCAGGCGGCACCCCACAGGCGGGTTGTGTGGGACCAGAGGCCGACACTGAGTGCACAGAGCTGCGGGAGTGAGCACGAGGTCCTGCGCTGGAGTGACGGGGTGGCTCCTGCAAGCACATCGTGCCCAGGGCTTTGGCACCAGATCGTGGTGGCTTGCTTCCCCGAGCTCTCGCTGGAGCTGGGAAGAGGCTGGGTAGACAGGGCTTCTTCCCCTGCCAGATGGGGTCCCATCACTGTGCGCTGCCTCCAGTGAGGCGCAGGTGTCAGTTGAGGAGGCTGACTCTGTCGGCAGTGTGGCCCTGGACCCGTGGCGTGTGCTCGCCTTGTTTCCGTGGGATGCCGCTTGTGCTGAAGTTGCGACTGGAGTTTCCTGACTCTCCCTGGCGTTTTGATGTGGAACCGCCGCTGAGAGGGCAGCCAGGGTTCTCTCTAGGGTCCCGGGCTCCTTTCTGTGCCGCAGGGCCACAACTCTGGGTGAGCCGCGTCTGTCTTCTTGCAGGAAACGTGACTCCTGCCCACTACGACGAGCAGCAGAACTTCTTCGCTCAGATCAAAGGCCACAAGCGCTGCATCCTGTTCCCCCCGGATCAGTTTGAGTGCCTCTACCCATACCCTGTCCATCACCCGTGCGACAGGCAGAGCCAGGTGAGCCTTGGGTGCCAAGGAGGGCGTCGAGCTCCAGATTCGGGGAATGCCCGGGCTGGGTCGACTTTCCCTTCCTGTGGTGCTGTGCCAGCTGTGGAGTACAGACTGGACTTGCCACAGCAAACCCAGAGGCTCGTTTCGCGGGGACGCTTATGCATCCTGGCTCCGGGGGCCTGGAAGTTGGCAAGCAGAACTGGTTTTCGGGGAGACCCCGTTGCGATGCCAGTGGGCTTTGGGTATGCTGGTGAGCGGCCTCAGAAGGTCACAGAACAGAAGGTCTGTGTCTCCACTGGAGTCTGTCATGGCTTGCTCTTGTCATGGATGCTGTTTCTTCTCCTGGAGAAGTGGGAATCACACTGAGATCTGTTAGTATATTTGCTGGAGCTGAGTGAGCTGCAGCGCTTGTGGCCTTTGATCTGAGTGAGCTGTCTTGAGGGGAAGCTGCCTGGCTGCTTCATGCAGGAGTCTCCTGCTGGAGTATGCTTGGGGAGGAAGTCTCTGGAGGCCTGGGTGAGGGAGGAGTGCCGACCCCTCGTGTCCTCGGGCTGTGGGGCATCTCCTGGCCTCAGGGCTGAGTGCCGAGGAGCCTGAAAACCTGGACTGTCTCGCACTGTTCTCTGTGAGAGCGCGCAGTGTGCATGGGGTCTTCTGCAGGTCTTTCTGCTAGAGAGTGTTTTTTGGAGACGTCTTTTTTTAACTGCCAAACTAGCACGTGATAGTTATGCTAAAGATCTGGTGATTGACTGGTGTTTTTTTCTTTCTTTTGACCTCTTAGGTGGACTTTGACAATCCTGACTACGAGAGGTTCCCTAATTTCCAAAATGTGGTTGGCTACGAGACAGTAGTTGGCCCTGGGGATGTTCTGTACATCCCAATGTACTGGTGAGGAGGGGGCTCGGGCTGGGGGCTTCTTGGGAGCATTTCTTCTCCTCCATGGAAACCTTGCCTGTGTCCCTCCTGCGTTGTGGCGGGTTGGTCTTCCCAGGAAGCTGGGCATACCTGTTCGTGAGTGTATGGAGGTGGGGGCCACAGCAGCCCTGTCTCGGGGCCAGAATAGCAGTCCCTCGAGCCCAGAGGGGCTCTGGAGCTCCAGGCTGGAGCAGCTGCTCTTCGGTGTTAGACACCGAGCACCACTGTGTGTGTTGGACAGCAAGAGACGATACCCTCGCCGTCTCCCTCAGCTGGACTCTGTCCGGTTTCCGCCCCTCCCTCGGAGAGCGTCTGTGGTGAAAGGTGCTGCTTGTTTTCTTGCAGGTGGCATCACATCGAGTCATTACTGAACGGGGGCATTACCATCACTGTGAACTTCTGGTATAAGGTGAATTGAGTTGTGATCAGTTCTCTTTCCAGATGGAACTGGGGCTGGAGGCAGTGTCAGTGCTTTTGGGTGGCACAGGTGGATGACTGACCCCAGAAGAGATTCCTGGGTCTTTGGGAGTGAAGAGGAATGGGACCAAGCTGGTTTCTCAGAAGGGAGGATGGAACTTGGAGCAGTGGAGCGGCATTGCTCCTCTGCTCAAGGTGTTTCCTGGGCGACTGCTTCCTTTGTAGGGGGCTCCCACCCCTAAGAGAATTGAATATCCTCTCAAAGCTCATCAGAAGGTGGCCATAATGAGAAACATTGAGAAGATGCTTGGCGAGGCCTTGGGGAACCCGCAAGAGGTATGTGACTGTCCAGGGTGGCACTCCCGTGGCCTGGTGGGTGGGTTGCCCACGGAAAGTCAGGACTGGTGTCCTCTCTCTCCGTGGAGGTTAGGGTGTGTTCAGAAAAGCCTGGTTTTCTGATGAGAGCTGGGCTTGACTGGTGCATCCGTTACAATTTGTTCCACACTAGTAGTAACATTCCCCATGGGGCCTGTGTGCCAGCTGGAGACCCCGAGGGGGTTCTCCTGGAGCAGGAAGCGGACGCTACAGCATCTCTGCACACTCTCCCAGCCATGCCAGGGCTGCTTTCCACACAGGTGTGCCAGTGCCCGTTGGGTGGGGGGGAGCTTTTTACGTGTCGTGCTCTTGCCTCCTCCTGTGGACCCCCGGCATACGCAGGTACCGTGGGGTGAGGAGATGGCGCCGGCCCCAGTTGCAGGTGACCCCTTCTTGAGGACGTGGAAGCATCCAGCATCCTTAAGGCACGCTGGAAAAACGTGCACAAGCACTCGGGTGTTGGCATATCATCAGCGCCTCTGACCATCTCTTTGTCCACTTGGTGCTGCTGACAGGAAGATACTGGGTGTCAAGAGGGAAGGGCCCTGGATACTGGGATATTGGCCTTTAGGAAGGGAGTAGATGAAGGGGTGACGAGGTTGAATGAAAACCGTGTCCCTGGCCAGCTGGACATCGAATGTCTCCAGACGCCGTGTCCGACTCCAGGGCTGGGGTGCAGGCTGGTCTGATGGGCTCCTCATGTCTCTTCACAGGTGGGGCCCTTGTTGAACACGATGATCAAGGGCCGATACAACTAGCCTGCCGGGGTCAAGGCCTCCTGCCAGGTGACTGCCGTCCCGTCCACACACTCATGATGAGGACAGGAGGCTCCGAGCACTAGTGTTGCACGCTGCACTTACGGACTGGCCTCCTGCCGTGGCCCTGGAGGCAGGTGTCTGGGGCTAGCAGGGCGGTGGCGCTCCACTCTGGTCTGGAGGGGCTTCTGACCCTGGCCTCTGGCGCCCCAGCGCCCTCCTCTTGCCCCCCAAAGTCCTGCATTCAGTGTGTGGAGTCCCAGCTTCGGTTGTCATCACGTCTGTGTTTAGTGTGTCGGCCTCGGGGTGTGTGCGCGCGCACACGTGTGTGTATCTGTCTGTCGTTCCCTCCTGGCTCTCAGCCCCGTCTCCTGCCACCTCAGTGCCTCGGCCTGAGAGAGGAGGTGCGTCCGCGCCCTGCGTGTGGGCTGCAGGGCCAGAGCCGGCCCCCGTTAGGCCATCTGCCTCCCTCCGGTGCTGGCGTAGTCAGGTCTCCGCTGGGTAGGAGGGCTCCTGGGACTCTAACGGCGAGAACACGAGGGAGCCGTGCCCTGGGGAGCCTGGAGGGCCTTCCTGGAGGGAGAGGGCTGCAGGGGGCTCCAGCTGGACCTACAAGTTCAAGCCATACCCAAAAAGACCCTTGGGATTCAAGAACCAAGGCTTATCACACGCTCCAAGCCACATGCAAATCTGGTTTCTCCTTCGGTACCAGCCCTTTCCCCTGTGCCTGGTGCCAGGGGAGTTCTCACTGGCACTCTCCTAGGTTCTGGGCTGTAAGCCTGTGTGTGTGCTTGTGGGTGTGTGTGTCTACGCTGGCCAGCCTCCCTGCATGCAAGGCTGTCTACTGCTCACCTTGTCCAGTGGGATAGCACGGCGAGCTGTGGGAAGTACTGCCTGACCCAGCCCAAAGCTCCAGAGCTTGGATCTTAGCCGCCAGTGCTGGTCAGGCCTCACTGCAGTCTGTCCAGGGCTGGCTGCCGAGAGCCTCTAGGCCCCGTGATGCTCCCTGCCCAGGCTGCTGCATCTACTTCCGCTGAGCCTGCTGGCTGGTGGATGCAGTGGGGTGGACTCAGACAGCTGACTCTGCCTGTGGTCCACCTCAGGGCAGGGCAGAGTCGAAGCCTTGCCTCTTGCTGCTGGCACCTCTGCCAGACCCTACCGTGGCACGCACAGCACCTATGCAGTCAGGGCAACTGGCCAGGTGTGGAAGGAGATTGTCCTTTGCTGTTCGTAGCTGCTCATGGGAAACTCTCAGGGCTGCGGCTCCAGCTGGGCAGCCGTGTGCACAGACCGTCATCCACACCTGCCCGGTGGGAGTGGCCTGGGCGCTCTGGTGGCCCTGTGTCTGCTCCTCTTCCATCTCCTTCCCCTTCTCCCTGGAAGGGAGGCAGAGTTGGAAGATCGCTGGTTTTTTTTCCTCTTTTTTTTTTTTTTTTTTTTGCCAAAGGTTTACTTCCAGTGTCTGAGCTGTGGCTTTTGCCCCAAAGCTTGGTTTACAGTGCACTGACAGGCTGAGAGGGTGTGCGTGTAAGTGTGTGCACGCCTGTGCTCTCTGGGTGTCTCTGATGCGGTGTGGGCATAGAGGCTGGCACCTTCTCAAGCGGAGCCAGTGACCTCAACCCTTCAGGAAGGAGGAGCCCAACGCGCAGCAGGGCAGGCGGGGGCCTTGGCCAGTTACGCTTGGAGACCGCAGACCGTCCTCTTTCGCTGCCCTCCTGGCTCAGCCTCCAGGGTGTGGGTGGGTATGGCCAGGAGGTGAGCACCCTCTTGCTGGGTGCTGACACAGGTCGGACTGGAGGGGTGGGAGGGAGCGGGGAGCCTTGGCGCTTCACGGGATTGGTCCTGACCCTTGGTGATATGAAAATGACCCCTGATTTTTAGACGCCTCACATGTGCCTAGTGCTTTTATCTTTGGTCCTCACTGCCTTGGGAGGTGAGGAAATGGCTCCGCGCAGTCAAGTGTTGGTGCCTGGTGGAATTCCAGCCTTGTGCTGTGTGGCTCAAGCCCCTGCTTCCTCCTCGCACCAGGCGGCATTGGTTCTCCTTCCTGCCCTCTCTCCCTCCCTGCCTCTGCTTTGTCCTGCGGCCCGGCCTCAGCGCCCACCTGCCTGGCAGTGTCCCTGGGTGGGCTCAGCCCAAGGTGGCGCAGGAGGAGCTGCTCAGGCCAGAGCTCGGCCTCCCACCCAGGACACTGTGGAGAGCCCCCAGGAAGCCCTGGGGAGCCGACTTCTGGTCTGCTTCATCCTTGTGTGTCCTGAGTGGGTCCCACGATGCCTCCCACCACGTGTCTGCATCTGTGCAGTGGAGCTCAGGTTCTGGTGGTTGCTCGGGGTCTTGTCCATGTCCTGCCACTTGCCCGAGGTGGGGGCTGTTGAGGCCCACCTTCGCTCGTGGCAGAGCATCTGTGGCTGCGTGACCATCCCAGCCGGCAGCAAGGGAGGCAGCGGCGCCACGGGAGGCGGGTGTTGGGACCTCTGTGGAGGCCGGCCCCATGGCAGGCTCCCCCACTGGCTCCCGCAGGTGCAGAGAACACTGGCGTGTGAAGTCAGGGCTGCGTCGGAGGCTTGGCGATCTGGGTGTGGAGGAGGGGCTGTTCGGGCATCCACCGAGCAGATGCCTGGGATGCCTGGGGGAGACCAGCTTCCCCTACAAATCAGGGCTCTAAATTACAAGGTTTTTACCAACGCGAACAGTTGGGGGACGTCGTCTGCTCTCATTTGCGTAATGGTTTCTGTCACTGGTGATTAGACACAGGATGAAGGAAAAGAAATTTGACAATTAGGAATGAGCGATCATTAATCTGAATCTGTTAGGAGACAGAGAGGGGAAGGATCCTTATCAGTGGGCCACCCCATGTGGGGAGACACTCCCTCTGCCCCCAGCCTCCAGCGTCGCCACGGTGGGCGGGGCTTGGGCTTCTTAAAGACTGGAAGCCCAGTCCCCAGCCTGAGCTGGGGGCCGGAGGCTCGGCGTGTGCCAGCAAGGTAGCGCATGACGGGCGTCCAGTCCAGGCCCCGGGGCAGAGGAGCGCCGCGGGGTTGTGACGCGTGTGTGCTGTGGTGGGGGGCGCTTCTGGGGTGGCCAGCCCCCGACAGCCCCAGAAACAGCCCGCAGGAGCTTCTGCCTCGGCGGAGAGGAAGCCACGAGCTCCCAGTGCCTGTGCGGCCGTCCCTGTGCGGACGAGGCAGGGACTGCTGAGAAGAGAAGGACCTGTGGGCAGCAAAGCTCTGGCGGCGGTGACTCCCACCTCTGCCGCCGCTCCCGGTGGGGCCGCTGAGCAGTGACGCTGCCAAGTGATGGGGGAATCCTTGGGTGTGGAGACCCCAGCTTGCGTCTTCCATGTCTCCGGCCACCTCACTTTCCGTCCCTCCTTGGTCCCTCCGAGGTGTGGCGTCCTGAGTGGTCATCTGCTGAGCTCTTTGGGGGCATTTGTGGAGACAAAGCCTTGGAAGCCGGCCGCCTCGAGACCTGGGGCCTGTGGACAGTGCGACCTTCGGAGTGGGTCAGCCGAGGGTCCCCGAGGGCAGCAGACGGAGAACCGGTTGAAGGAGGGGCGTGGGCACTGAGAAGGGGCTGGGCTGGTAAGCTGGGTGGAAGGACAGAGTGCTGTCTCTGTCTGAGTGTGTCTGCTCCAGGGCCTGGCAGTCCAGGGATGGACACTTTGTGTTCCCTGGCTTCTCCCAGGTGTTGGCTGCGGTCACCAAGCATTCCAGCGCTCGCTGGGAGGTGAGTGGCGTGTTGAGTGGCCATGGCGGGAGTGACTGTCTTGGACAAGGGCCTTGGCTGCCAGCAGCAGGGACCTGGGGGCTGACTTGTCCCCAGGCTGTCTCCAGGCTTCCAAGCTCCAGTGCCACCCCTGATGGAGAAAGTGAGGAGCCTGGGCCCTGCCCCCGCCCCAAGGCTGTCCCTGTCGCGTTCTGGAGAGGAGCATGTGTGCTTAGACCTCCCGCGGGAGCCTGCCTGGCCTGGTGCTGGAAACCATGGGTGTCGGCGGAGGGGCGTTCGGTTCAGGCTTCTACCTTGGCTGACGCGGTGGAGTTAGCCCTTGGCCGACTTTTGGCCTCTCAGCCTCAGTTTCCTCGACGATAAGGACGTGGTGGAGGGGGGCGTGGAAAATATCTACCTCAGGGCTGTTGGAGTCATCGAAACGATGTTTGTAAAGCTTCAGCACCGGCCTGGCAAGCACTTAATAAACGCTGTGGTGGTGGTGGTGGTGACGTAGTGGTGTGGCTCATTCTGAAGCTGGGTTCGGCGGGCTCCAGCGGACTCCCAGGGCTCGGTCCTTCGAGAAAGGCAGAGGGAGGGCCGGGAGAAACCTGTGTGGCATCGGGCCGGAGAGTCTCTGCTCAGCCTGTCCCAGGAGGAGGGAGGCAGTGCTCTTCGGCCCGGTGGCTGGGCCTGACTGCTGCCCATGCAGCTGGGCTGTAGGAGGGACTCCGTGTGTGCCTCCACGTGCTGAGGCTGCGGCGGCCCTGCTGTGCCCCAGGCACTGTGCCATCCAGGCTGGCCTGGGTGCAGCTTTCGTCCGGGCCCTTCAGTGGCTCCCGGTTATGGGTGTGCCAGGATGGTTCTGGGGCAGTGGGGCCTTCAGACGCCATGCCAAGGCGCGTGAGAGTGGGTGTCACCCGCCGCCCTCTGGGGAGCTCCTGTCCGGGCTGGGGCCACGCCTGTGGCACTTGGCTCAGCAGGAGACCCAGGCCGTGGAGGCACAGGCGGCTGAGGGGCAGCCCGGGGCCACGCTTGCAGGTGCAGGTGCTTCCTGCAGGGCGCCGGGTGGATGCTGGTGTCAGAAGACGAGTAGCCGACGGGGCCGTGAGCACCTCCCTTCCAGGCCAGAAGCAGGCACCCTGGCCCAGCGCTCAAGGCGTTGCTGCCAGTCGCTCCGGGGAGGGGTGGGCGGTGTGGGGCGTCCCAGGGGTTGGAGGCCCCTGTGTCCTGGGGCGCCTGCAGCGGCCGGCCGGCCGTGGCCCTCTGCTGCCCTCAACCGCCCTGGCCTCGGAGCGTCTGCCGGCCTGCTCGGCGAGGTGTTGGGGAAGTGACACGGCCTCCCCCTGCAGTCTCTTGTGGCCGGCCAGGACCCTCGGGCCCCGCCCCCCCACTGTGAGCCAAGCCTCTGCAGTCCCAGCGGGAGTGAGGAAGACGCCCTCTAGCCCGCGCCAAGCCCTCCTCCGGGCTGCGGGCCACGCGGTCACCTTGCAGTCCCCTTCCCTTCCAGATGCCTGGCTCTGGGCCTTGGAAACCTCCCTGGCCCTGGCTGAGTTTGCTGTTTCCTTCAGTT